ACATATGAATCACCTGGGGATCACCTTGAACTGTAGATTCTGATTTAGTGGTTCTGGGTGGAAACACAAGTTATCAGTAGGGGCTTGGACTAGAAGGAACTTGTTTACTCCCCTGTTTTTAATGGAGCTTCCAGACTAAGATGGATGAGAAACAAAGGTCTAGTAATCTACTTCCAAAAATCATCCAGTGAAAACTCTAGTGAGCATAACAATCCAGCCCTATCCTGATCATGGGATGCTGTGCAACTGGGCAGTGTTTTGTGCCATCAGACATGGGGTGACCATGAGTCTGAGACCAACTTGAAAGCAGCTAACAACGCTAATTAAGGGTTTCGGCAGAGTCTGCTCTCGTAGCTACTCTATGGGTTGGTCCTTTCCTCTCCCACCTGGCTTCTCTTCTTGGCTTCCAACTCTGGCATGTCTCTGTGGTTATATGACCATCTTTCCTTTGTGTGTCTCTTCTTCTCTTATAGCATGCCACTCAGTTGGGTTAGGACCCACCCTATTCCATTGGCTGATTTTCATGTCAATTAAGAACATCGGCAAACATCTTATTTCCAAACAAGGTCATGTTCACAAGTACAAGGGTTAGGACTTGAGCATATATTTCAGGATGACAAAAACGAATCTGTAATAGGAAGAGGGGCCTTTTCCTGAGCTGCCAATGCCTTGAGCCCACAGGAGAGTGTCCTGTGGTGGCCGACTTTGTTTTTAACCACTCCAGGGTGTGGCTAGTCACTGGGGCTCCTTCAATCACCACCTTTGAACTGTTGTTGAGTGCGTTTTAATTGAATGCTTCATAGTTACCATACTTGAAAAAATTCATAGATCAGCAAGTCAGGCAAGCCAACCCACTTTCCTTTTCTTTGGTTTAGATGCTCTGCCTACAGTAGTAGAGAGAGAGGCTGAGTGCCCTCAACACTAGATCAGTGATTCCAAAGTGGAGTGGAGAGCCTGGTTGTTGTACTACTGTTATTTAGATGGGTGAATGAAGGTTTCTCTTGTTGTTATGTTGTTGTTGTTAGTGGTGGTAGCTGTGTGCTGTGGAGTCGGTTCTGACTCATAGCAACCCTGTACAGGGTTTCCAAGGCTGTAAATCTTTATGGGAGTAGAATGTCTCATCTGTCTCCTCCAGAACAGCTGGTAGTCTCAAATTGCTGACCTTGCTGTTCGCAGCCCAATTCATAACCACTACGCTACCAGAGCTCCTTTTCAAGTTGATACTGACTCAAAAAGATTCTGTATAGGGTTTCCAAGAAGTTGCCGGTAGGTTTGAACCACTGACCTTGTGCTAAACAGTCTAGTGCTTACCCTACAGTGCCATCCCAGGTTGTTATAGATTTCATTTTGAAAATCCAGTGTTCTGACTAGTTCTCAATGGGCCTCTCAAATTGCTTTAGTGATTCTTCTTGCTCCACGAATTATGTAGGGCTTCTGAGGACCCTTACAAACCATCCTGTGACTACCTTCCAGTGACTACGGGGTGGGTCTGACAGAACACAGGTGTGCTGGTGAATTTCATGTGTCAACTTGACTGGTCTAAGCTGTCCCATTGGGTCTGATACTAGTTTAGATGTTGCTGTAGAGGTACAAGGGAGCTTCAAAAAGTTCTTGGAAAAATAGAATGAAAAGATAATGGGATTTTTCCCACAAAACTTTTGAAACTCCCCGCCACCCCCAACACATATATATGTTTTTGTTAGGTGCCATTGAGTTAGTCCTGACTTATAGAAACCCTATGCACAGCTGAGTGAAACCCTGCCCGGTCCTGGGCCAACCTCACAATTGTTACATTTGAGCTCATTGCTGCTGCCACTGTGCCAATCCATCTCTCTGGAGGTCTTCCTTTTCTTTCTCTGACCCTCCACTTTACCAAACATGATATCCTTCTTCAGTGACTGATCCCTCCTGACAATATGTCCAAAGTATGAGCGATGAAGTCTGCCCATCTTAGCCTCCAAGGAGCACTCTGGCTGCATTGCTTCCAACACAGATCTGTTTGTTCTTCTGGAGGTCCATGGTACTTTCAATATTCTCCTCTAACACTGTAACTCAAAAGCATCAATTACTCTATCATTTTCCTTATTCACTGTCCAACTTTCATATGCATATGAGTTTACTGAAAATACCATGGCTTGGGTCAGTCACACCTTAGTCCTCAAACTGACATCTTTGTTCTTGACCATGTTAATGAGGTCTTGTGCAGTAGATTTGCCTAATGCAATACATTGTTTGATTTCTTGACTGCTGCTTCCATGAGTGTTAATAGTTGATCCAAGCGAAATGAAGTCTTTGACAAATTCAATCTTTTCTCTACTTATGTGGATATTGTTTATTGGTCTAGTGGTGAAGAGTTTTGTCTTCCTTACATTGAGGTGCAACCCATACCGAAGGCTGTGTTGTTTGATTTTCATCAGTAAGTATTTTAAGTCCTCTTCACTTTCAGCAAGGAAGGTTGTATCATTTACATATTGCAATTTGTTAATGAGTCTTCCTCCAATCCTGCTGCCACGTTTTTCTTCATATAATCCAATTTCTCAGATTGTTTTCTCAGCATACAGATTGAATAAGTATGGTGAAAGAATACAACCCTGGTGCACACCTTTGCTAATTTCCTGTGATCTGTTCAAAGAGCTGCTTCTTGGTCTATGTACAGGTTCCTTATGAGCACAAGTACATATTCCGGAATACTCATGTTTAGCAATGTTGTTTGAGCTTCAATCAGAGAGAGAAAGGCATAAACAACCAACACACCAACACAGCCGGGTGGAGAGTAAGAGGGGCCAAGGCAGGTGAAGTAGACAAACGAGGAGGCTCCTGTCATCGTCTGTTCTGGCTGGAGGTGAATGACAGGCTATCAGACTTCTTCTTGAGGCAGGATAGGAATGACCTGGCTGGATTAGATACACACGGTAAGGGTAATGCCCAGATTTCTGCTGTGTGCAGATGCCATTGTACTGAGTTGATGCTGACTCATGGTAACTCTGTATGTTTCAGGGCAGAACTGCTCCATAGGGTTTGTTTTGGCTGTGACCTTTTGGAAGCAGAACACCAGGCTTTCTTTCAAAGGTGCTTCTGGGTTTGAACCATCAACCTTTTGGTAAGTAATTGAGCCATTAACCATTTATGCTACCCATTAATTAAGGGAGATATAACATGCCCCATTAATTGAGAGAGACATCAGAGTCAGAAGCATGCTAATTTTGAGATGATAGAAACCCCCAGGTAAAGACCAAGAATTCACCATCAGCAAAGAGTTCTGGGCCCAGATGCTGTTGTTGTTGTTGTTAAGTGCTGTGAAATTCACTCTGACTCATAGTGACCCTATATAGGGTTTCCATGAAGCAGCTGATGGATTTGAACTGCCAACCTCATGGTTAGCAGTGAAGTGCTGATCCTACAGCGCCACAGGCTCAGGTGCAAACTAAGAACTAATGTGATGCCCCAGTGAGGGGATGTAGAGGGGAAAGGGAGATAACTCCAAATTTGTTTCTGTGGTTTTGCAGGCACCAAGGAACTGGCAAAGAGCCTGAAAGGGAAAGGAATAAAGTATATCTAACCTTGTTGCGGTGATGATACAACCTTGCTTGCTGAAAGTGAAGAGGACTTAAAACATTTACTGATGAAGATCAAAGAGCACAGCCTTCGGTATGGATTGCATCTCAGTGTAAAGAAAATAAAAATCCTCACCATGGGACCAATAAACAATATTCTAATCAATGGAGAAAGGGTTGAAGTTGTCAAGGACTTTGTTCTTTTTGGATTAGCTATCAACACTCACAGAAGCAGCAGTCAAGAGATCAAATTATATATTGCATTAGGCAAAGCTGCTTCACAAGACCTTTTAAAGTGTTGAAGAGCAAAGACATCAGCTTGAGGACTAAGGTGCACCTTACCTAAGCCATGGTATTTTCAATAACCTCATATGCATGCTAAAGCTAGACAGTGAATAAGGAAGGTCATAGAAGAATTGATGCATTTGAGTTATGGTGTTGGAGGAGCATATTGAAAGTGCCACGGGCTGCCAAAAGAAGTAAAAGATCCATTTTGAAAGAAGTGCAGCCAGAGTGCTCCTTGGAAGCCAGGATGGCCAAATTTCGTTCTCATACTTCGGACATGTTGTCAGGCGGGACCAGTCTCTGGAAAAGGATATCATGTTTGGTAAAGTGGAGGGTCAGAGAAAAAGAGGAAGACCCTCAATGAGATGGATTGGCCAAGTGGCAGCATCAATGGACTCAAGTGTGGCAACAATAGTGAGGTTGGCCCAGGATCGGGCAGTGTTTCATTCTGCTGGGCATAAGGTCACTATGAGTGGGTACTGACTCAATGACACCTAACAACAACAGAGAAACGTTTACTTTTTCTGAAGAAGTGAATCGTTTTTATGATAATATCCTCTATAGCAGTGGTTAGCCATGGAGTCAGTTCTTACTCATAGCAACTCTGCATGGAGTTTTTGAGATTGTAAATCTTTACTGTAGCAGAAAGCCTCATCTTTATTCCAAAGAACAGCTGATGGTTTCGAATTGATGACTGTGAGGTTGGCAGCCTGACTCAAGTAACCCTTATGCTACCAGAACATTTTCATCTACAGTATTTCCATATTTTATCCCAAACATGTGACAAGAGCTGCAGAATTACAAAAGGGGGGAAAAAAAGAAAAAAGAAAAAAAACCCTGAAAATTAGAGTTGTATAGATGGTTAGTTATTTGAATAAAATGAATAAAAGTAGTGATCTGCTTTTTTTCTTAGAATTCCCATTAAAAAGTTTGTGGTACTTTATCTAACATGTTAGTTTTTATTTTTATAAATCATTGAAGAATTCTATGTGGCTTTTATAATGATTGATTCAAAGTACAGGAAATTATTAAATCGTTGGCCTAAGTAAAATCACTCATTTTTCATCTGATTATAAACTTGAGTTAAATTATATAGTTATTTTGATGTCATGTATTTTGAGGCTAAACAAAATATAGGAAATCAAAATTAAGTACATGCCAATTCATCTTCACTTTCTAGATAAAGCAGGGTAGAATTCTGAGAAGCACAGGAATTTCTACTTTCTGTCCAAGTTTTTCCTTCATTAAATTTGCGGTAACAGTTACATCGATACCCAATCCACTTTTCTGGACAAGAACAACAGTCAATGTCTACAAAAAATAAATAAAACATGGTTGATAGTATTTAACATTTCAAATTTCCAATTTGATTTATTTAATTAAAATCATTTCTTGTTTATTCATATTTTCTAAAAAAAACAACAAAATTTTCTATAAATATACACTTATACAGAGTGCTACATCAGAAAATGTTAATGTGACCGAATCAAATATAACCTTTTTCCCCATGGAGATTATATTCTAGAGGTAGAATTAGAATTATATGTAATTCCCAATCATTTATCAATTGCATTGAATAATAATTTTAGTAAAGACACAAAAGAAATGTGATATATAGCATGTAGGAGAGCATGGAATGGAGGAAGCGAAAATAATTTTTTTAAGAATTGCTCCAAAGTTGAGCTAAACTGTATAAACAGGAATTTCCTAAATCAAAGAGAAATTTAAATGGAAAAAACAAGTTAGCATAAATCCTTAGTTAGAAAATAATATACAACGTATTACTAAAATTCTAATATATATGTTGTTTTAAAAATCAAAATAAAGCAATGAACTTGAAATTTGATTATTCAAGTTATCAATTATAGTGTCTTGATAAGTAGACTTTTTCACCCTCGGTAATCAGAGTCATCCTGAAATTTACTAAAATAATGGCTCTGAAATTGTTGGCACAAAATACAAGTGAAGTGCTACAAGATAACAAGCAATAGGGACTGTAGAAGAAAAAACATGACTCTCATCAGGTTGTTGTTGCTAAGCGCCAGCGAGTGGGCTTCTGACTCATGGCAACCCTGTACAGGGTTCCAAAGAGCAGCTGGTCCGTTGGAACTGCCCGCCTTAACGGCCCAAAACGACAGTGCAGTTTACAGCATTAACTGGAAGTGCCACACCAGAAGTCCGATTGTTGTTGTTGTTGTTAAGTGCCATCGAGTCAGATCCAACCCATAGCGACCCTATACAGGGTTTCCGAGGAGCGACTGGTGAGCTTGAACCGCCGATCATGCAGTTCAAACGGCTTTGCAGTCTGGTGCATTAACCCACAGCGCCACACCAGGACTCTAGAAGTCTGATTAGTAGGATTTTAAATTGCAGGAATGTGGGCACTGAATTCTGAGTCCAGCTAAAGCCAATATAGATAGTAAAGTATGAGTTTTGAGAAAATAAGGACAAATATCTGACGTGGTGCTGTAGGATAAGCGCTGGATTGCAAACCACAAGGTCAGCACTTCAAACCAGTTGCTCCTTGGAAACTATACACATGGTCACTATGAGTTGGAAACAACTCTAAGGCACTTCACAACAACAACAACAAACAGGATTTGCTGTAACATTTACTCTTGTTCATTTCTAATTTTTGCTTAATTATGAGCACTCATAGAGGAAAAAAAATTCTATTATATCCTGGTGTGTCACTGTAGGATAGGCATGGGACTGCTAACAGCAAAGTTGGGTGATCAAACCCACCAGCAGCTCCTTGGAATCCCTATACAGATGTGTTCAATGGGTAGGAACTGACCTGATGGCACTTAACAACAACAATAACATATAAATGGTGCACACTCATTGTAATTTAGTCATTTCTACATTAGAGAACATGGAGTACTGGTGTGGCACTGTAGGTTAATGTACCAGACTGCAAAGCCATTTGAACTTTAAGATTAGTGATTCAAGTTCACCAGTCGCTCCATGGAGACCCTATACATGGTCACTATAGGTCGGAACTGACTCGAAGGCATTTAACAACAACAACTGCATTAGAGAACAGTGAAGGAGACTATCTGACAACCAAGGAAATAAACTTATAAGTCTCTATGTAATGTTCATCAAGTCATGTGTGTAAAAGATAAAACTGTCCATTTTAATTTTATACCAACAATGTTGTTGTTGTTGTTACGTGCCGTCGAGTCGGTTCCGACCCATAGCGACCCTGTACAGGGTTTCCGAGGGTGTAAATCCTTACGGGAGTAGAAAGCCTCATCTTTCTCCCGCGGAGCAGCTGGTAGTTTCGAACCGCTGACCTTTAGGTTCGCAGCCCAATTCATAACCACTACGCTACCAGAGCTCCTTACAATAAGAAGCCAGAATATACTAAATGGATTAGCTGTAATATTTACTATTGTTGTGTCCATTGGGTATGCCAACAATAAGTTTTTCCAAAATATGGAGCCTACCTTTCTGGAGTTCTTCGGTGGATCCTGGAGAAACTGTTGGAGGAACACTTTGTTCACTGAATGCTACAAGAAATTATTAGAAAGTTATATAATTAGACACAGATTTAAGTGTGTATCTATGAGATAATAAAATACTACACATTCCTAAAGTTGACCTTTATTACTAAATGCTTAATCACATTTTTTTATTTTCATAAAGATTTGACTAGAGAAACTTACATTTATGCAACAAAATTCCCAAAGTAATCATCAACAAAAGACACAATACTCCTAAAATCCAAGAAATCAGTCTCCATGGAGTAGTCTGAAAAGCTGTACAAAGGAGAGATTGGGTAAAGACATAAAGAAAAAAAAAAAAAGAAACAGAGTTTTATTTGATAACACAGTCATTTTGCTTATGAAATTTTGAAAAACTAAATCAATTTAGAACTTTAACCAATACTAATGTTTTTATGCAATGTACTGAATTCTTCAGTGAGATTTTTTTATAAATCTACTGCTCTACTGACTTTGTGTCTATAAGATAATGAAGTAAAACTTACATTTATCTTTTAACCTGACAAAGAAACATAGAAACCTGGAGTAAGAGACTCTAATATAAGTTGTGAAAGTCCACAACAGATATTTCCTTTTATTCTCTCAACAAAAAATCACAGCAGATAGAGTACTATTATCATTAAGTAGATGAGAAAATTGAGAGTCCAAAACTAATGTTATTTTCTTCTGATATCAAAGTAACTATTCACATCAGAAATCAAATTTAAGTGTGTATAGATCTAGAGTCTTACACTTAACACATTCTGTCACTGTTTTTGACAAAATCACAATTTGGGAAAGTACCCCTTTTACTAATCTCAGTTCAGGCTCTGCTCTGAGAAACCTCTTCCTGCTCATAGTTCTGCGGAGGTATTGCAGGGAAGAGATGAGACAAGAGCACTCTGGACCTAATTGGAGAAGTTCCACAATCAACACATGGGTAATACGTTAGTGAGTTGGATCATATCTCAATATATTGAATTATGATATATAAACAAACTTTATTACAGAAATAGTACACTTTCTAATATCCACAATTTCCTTATAAACTTTTCCCCTGGAATAAATCAACCTTAGATAATTCTGCATTCTCATTAGTATATGCCACTGAGCTATGTTCTCATTAATAGCAGTAGATGTTAACTACATAATTTGGGTGATCTTTTCATGTTAGAATACAAATGCAATGCTTTACTATAAGACTTCTAAACACTGTGTCAATAATAATTTGTTGTTCTTTATTTCTCTGATAGAATTATATCAGTCACAATTAAACCTGGTAAATTCAATTCTTGTCAAGACTATAGCAGTATCTCTGTCAGAAGTCATTCTTTAAACCTTTAGGAAAAGCATCATAAGATATTTTTTAAGTCCTAGGAAAAGGAATAAGGAGGTTAAAGTTAATGTGGAGCCTACTGACACATGACAAGCCTAACGAGTTTGACTAGTAATTAGAACTATTTCTCATAAAGCAGCACCCTGACATTAGTTATACTCATTAGATCACTCTTTTGGCTATTTTATATTTTAAATTCCTAAATGAGGACCCACATACCTGCCATGAGAAATGATATTTGAAGGTGGATGCAGTAACGCTATAACAAATCCTCATTGGAGAAGAATGGTGCTGGATCACAGAGCTCTTCAGGAAGCTAAGGAATTAACAAATTATGTATGTAAAAAACTAAAAGAGAAAGAAAAATTCTGTATTTAAATGATGCTGCTGAATCACCTGTCAGTGAAGCATGTCTGTATGGTATGAGCAAGTAGCAGTAAAACTACCAGCTTCTAAAATGTTCCGGATATCACAATACAGGAAATTATCACTGACCTTTTTCAATATAAGCCCTAAGATTCTCACAACAGAAGGTGAGAGGGAGCTTTATTTCTGAATCTTTTTAAAATCAAAGTTTTGTAGAAAATATACATTTAAGCCATATAAAAACGTAGACAAAAGAAGGTAAATTTACTTCATGTAATAAAATTCTACACATACAATTTTCTGTCAATAAAAATAAACATTCATTGGGTATTTACAATGTACCAAACAGGAAAAAGCATTCTGTCTTTATTAACCCATTTATATAAAAATGGCAAAATAGAGAAGATTAAATATCCTTATTTACCAATGAGGAAACTGAAGTTCACTTAGGTAAGTAACGTACCCAGGGAGCCTAAAACTGCAGCACAGACTGTTTCAAATGCCCACCTAATAAACTCACCTTCCCTCTGTTTATATTTTCTGTAGATTTCCATTTCTTTTCTCTTGTAAAGTATAGCTTCTCTAACTATCTCTCATTTTTGTGCTCCAACACCACCAGCATTGCTACCTCTGCCTCATCAAACAAACCAGCATATATACATACACACATACACACCTAGATAGCACTATATAAAGTCTTATCACCTAGTCTAAGCCCATCCTTCAAAGTGTCACTCACATTAGTCTTGAATTCTTTCAACACTTCACTGCCCGTTCCTTAAAGCCCTTTGAACATGGCTGCAGTTGCTCTAGTAAATTTTAATTAAGATATTAATTGTTATAATTGTTAACAAGGTCATCTCATTCTCTAGTATACTTATAGTTCATCTTACACTTTCCCCCACCCCCCTCAATAGAAGATTTTAGTGCATTTTTCAAATGTGGGATACATTAGTAGACTAGTAGTCTTGAGAGAAAAGACCTTGGTTTATGGTGGTGGTTGTGTTCTATGTAGTCAATTAGGACTCATAGTGACCCTGTAAGATTTTCTGTGGCTATCAATCTTTATGGGAGCAGAAAACCTCATCTTTCTCCCAGGAAGTGGCTTGTGGATTCAAACTGATGATCTTCCAGTTAGCAGCCCAATGCCGAACCCACAACACTGCCAGTGCTCCTTAATCTATGACATATCTGGAAATACAATCCATCATTCATCACTATACAAAATCACTTCCTTAATAAGCCTGTGTTGTTGTTTTCTAAGCATTCTAATAATCCTATGTTGTTGTTAAGTGTTGTAGAGTTGGTTCTGACTCATAGCAACCCTGTATAGGGTTTCTAAGGAGCAGCTGGTGAGTTTGAACTGCTGATCTTGTGGTTCAAATGACTTTCTGGCCCAGTGCTTATCCCACAGCACTATACCAGGACACCAATATTCCTATATTCCAATCTTACACAAAGGTTCATCTATAATATCCCAATCGATGAACATTTGTGTAAAACTGAGTTTCTTAGCCAACATGTCAAAATATGTGGTTCATTTCTGTTTCCATGAAGTCAAAAGTTTTTCATCTTTTAATTGGTCTCATTCTCACCAAAATTGCTAAAATCAAGATACTTACTGGAAAATGTGAACATGAAATTCCCTTTATCTAGCTCTTATGCAAAACCAGGGAGCATGGCGGCTTTGTGCAATAGCCACAAGGTTTGTGGTTCGAGCCCATCATCCACTCCTCAGGAGAAAGTAGGCTTTCTGTTTCTACAAAAATGTATAGCCTCAGGAACCCTATACAGGTTTACAATGAGTCGTAATGGACTTGATGGCACTTAACAGTAAAAACATGCAAGTCCAAGTTGAGAAGAACTATGTAAGTGACCCTGTACAGGGTTTCCAAGGTTGTAAATCTTTACAGGAGCAGAAAGCCTCATCTTTCTCCTGTGGAACATCCGGTAGTTTCAAAATGCTGACCTTAAGGTTTGCAGCCCGATTCGTAACCACTGGGTGGGAATAGGCATAATTTAATCTATAACAAATTTGTACAAGTGGATGTCATTGTTGTTGAGAAGCATACACACATTCACAGGTTAATGGACCCAACACAAACAACAGACTTATTCGTTTTATGATTATTAGCAGCAACATGGTACTTTTAAAGCAGCACAACACAAAACAAGGCAACATATACACACTAAAGTAGAAACACAACTACAGCCTATTTCAGTTAGACTGACCCATCTTAAAATTACCTGAGCTCTCCCTCGAACCCAATTTAATTTCCCCTGAACCTAGTTCAAGTATTCAACTATAATTTATCTTGAGGCCTCCATGGGACCTAGTATGGTATTCCTTGCACCCAAATTGAGGCAAATACTCTTTTGAAACCAGAGTTGGACAAGTAACCCTTGTATTCAAATGAACAAATAAACAAGTCTCTCTCAGACAAAATTCAACACCTTTACTTAGATCAGTTATTGTTGCTGTTGTTGTTTATATTTTATTATGGATTATATGTTAGTTTACATGGGTGAACATTATCTTTACATTCATCCTCTCATACTTTGTTTCATTGCAATGATCATAATCCCCTGAATGCATCATCAAACACCCAGAGGGTACACCCCACACGCCTGATCCCTGGCCACCAGCACACAGCCCCTCTCACTTCCTGAGTCCAGATTCCCCAGCCGCTCTTTCTGTCCACGAGATCAGTTTGATGTTTCTTGAAACCAGTCCATGGAAAGTATTCAGATAATGCAAATGAAAAAACTATCTCTGAAACTCAAGCACCAAACAGAAATTCCACAAAGTGGAAAGAAAAGGACAGAGTAGGTGAGACCATAATTCTGTAAAGAGACAGTACAAAAGGGTAACTTATCAAGGGGAAGACATTGCTTAGATATAAACTCAGAGAGTTCAACACAAAAGGTGTGAAACTAAAACTCTTTTAGTTTTAGATATTTACCAAGTTCCCCAGATATAGTGAGGGAACAATTGAATGCAAGAGGTCCATGTTTGGCACTATATGTTTGTTATCATCACAAAATGGGGCACTTGACTTGGTGGTGTGTGGACACATGCTCAATTTTCCTCTGAATCTAATTCCTGACACAAAAAGTGTTAGAAATAATCAAAGCTTAATGAAATTTGAATATAATATTTATTCTGTGCAGGTATTCTATATGGATGTAAGGAGACTATTTTAATTCCAGAAAAAGAAAATGGCTTTCAAAAGCTAGGTATAAAGAAAAGGGAGAAATATAGAAAATCATGTACTGGTTAATTTTAACATAATTGATCGAATCCTGCTTCCTTTTTTACAGAGACCAATTGATATCAGTTCAGAAAATGATCTCTGGCTCTCCTCCCAGTTATATCTTTTGAAATTCAAATTTAGTAATCTTGGATTCCAGCAGAAAAGAAAGGATTTGCATCTTTGAGTGAAAGGAAATCACCTAGTAGATTAATTTTGGTTAGGGATTTTGTGGTGTAGTGTGTTATCTAATGTATCTTCTAGACAAGTTTCTATCCTCTGGGTCTAGATAAGAGAAGGTGGAAAAGATAGTTATAAGATGACAAGTTGTTGTTGTTAGGTGCCATTGAGTTGGTACCGACTCATAGCAACCTAATGCGCAACAGAGCAAAACACTGCCAGGTCCTTGGCCAACCTTACAATTGTTGCCACACTTGAGTGCATTGATGCTGCCATATTGCCAAACCATCTCGCTTGGGGTCTTCCTCTTTTTCTCTGACCCTCCACCTTACCAAAAATGATATCCTACTCTAGCAACTGGTTCCTCCTGACAATATGGCCCAAGTATGAGAAACGAAGTTTGGCCATACTGGCCTTCTAGGAGCACTCTGGCTGCACTTCTTCCAACACAGATCTGTTGGTTCTTTTGGCAGCCCATGGCACTTTCAATATTCTCCTCCAACACCATAACTCAAAAGCATCAATTCTTCTATGGTCTTCCTTATTCACTGTCCATCTTTCACATGCATGTGTGGTTATTGAAAATACCATGGCTTGGGTCAGGTACATCTTAGTCTTCAAGCTGACATCTTTACTCTTCAAAACTTTAAAAAGGTCTTGGGCAGCAGATTTGCCTAATATAATCTGTCGTTTGATTTCTTGACTGCTGCTTCCATGACTGTTGATAGTTGATCCAGGAAGAATGAAGTTCTTGAGAACTTCAATCTTTTCTCCATTGATAAGAATGTTGTTTATTGGTCCAGTGGTGAGGATTTTTGTTTTCTTTACATTGAGATGCAATCCATACCAAAGGATATGTTTTTGATCTTCATCAGTAAATGTTTTAAATCCTCTTCACTTTCAGCAAGCAAGGTTGTATCATCTGCATATCACAGGTTGTTAATGAGTCTTCCTCCAATCATGATGCCAGCTTCTTGTAGTATTTGCTCAGCATACAGGTTGAATAAATATGGTGAAAGAATACAACCTTGTTGCATACCTTTCTTAATTTTAAACCATTCAGTGTTCCCATGTTCTGTTCAAACAACTGCCTCTTGGGCCAGGTACAGATTCCTCATGAGCACAATTAAGTGTTCCAGAATACTCATACTTTGCAATGTTGTCCATAGCTTGTTATGATCCACACAATTGAAAGCCTTTGCATAGGCAATAAAGCACAGGTAAACATCTTTCTGATATTCTCTGCTTTCAGCCAAGATCCATCAGATATCAGCAATGATATCCCTTGTTCCATAGCCTCTTCTGAATCTGGTTTGAACCTTTGGAAGTTCTCTTTTAGTGTGTGCTTACAGTCATTTCTGTATTACCTTGAGTAAAACTTTACTTACATGGTATAGAAAAGATATTGTTTAATGATTTCTGCATTCCATTGGGTCACCTCTCTTTGGAATGGGCACAAATACGAATCTCTTCCAATCAGTCGGCTATATAGCTGTCTTCCAAGTTTCTTACCATAGATAAGTGAGTTCCTCCAGTGCTGCCTCACTTTCTTGAAAGACTTCATTTTTTATTCCATCAACTCCTGGTGCCTTGTACTTTACCAGTTCCTTCAATGCACCGTGGACTTCTTCCTTTAGTATCATTGGTTTTTGATCATATGCTACCTCTTGAAACAGTTGAACATCAACCATTTCCTTTTGGCACAATGATTCTGTGTATTCCGTCTATCTGCTTTTGATGCTTTCTGCATCATTCAATAATTTTCCCAGAGAATCCTTCAATAATGAAAGTTGAGGCTTGAATTTTTTCCTCAAATCCCCCAACCTGAAAAAAGCCGAAAGGGGTCCTCCCTTTTGGTTTTCTAACTCCAGATCTTTGCACATTTCGTTGTATTATTTGACTTTGTCTTCTCGAGTGTAGCCACTGTGGAAAACTTCTATACAAATAAGTACATTTGAAAAGTGCACTAACAAAAGGATGGATTATTGAATTTGACTGGTATAATGAGGCCTCAAAAGATAAACAGTATTCTAATGTACTTCTCTCAAGTATTCTTTACATTGTACAGAAGACATGATTATGAGAATGGAATTTTTTTTCTACCTCTGGATAGTATTATTAGATTATAATATTCCTTCTTCAAAGAACTGTATTCTGATGGATTTAATGATAAATATGTGTTTATATGTAGTTAATAGATCAAATATCCCAGGGTTTTAAAAAGTCACCTCCTGATGTAAAAACAGTTGCTAAGCAATTTAGTCTATTGTTGTTGCTAAGTGCTGTCGAGTAGATTCGGACCCATAGTGGCCCTGTACAGGGTTTCTGAGGCTATAAATCTTTATGGGAGCAGAAAGCCTCATCTTTCTCCCATGGAACAGCTGGTAGATTCAAACTGATGACCTTAAGGTTCACAGCCCGATTCGTAACCACTGTGCTACCAGAGCTCCTTAATTTTAGTCTATATTAAGAAAATGTAATAATATAGTCCAACAATGAAAGTAACTAGCTCTAAAATGAAAAAGAGAAGAGCATACAATGAAAATTTGTGTGGCTATAGAAGCTTACAAAACGTTTAGAAGAAAGTTAAGAAGATAAGATAAGCTGCTTACCAAGAGAATGATAAAAGAAAAATAGAAATTGGTTCTTGAAAATAGCCTGAGCAAATAAGTAGTCTATTGTCTTGCAAAATAGCTAGATTTATTTAAACATGTGTAAATGAATTGTGAATGCACAAATTCTTCTTGCCAGAGTCTCAAAATTGGAGAGAGGCAGAGTAAGACCTCCATGCCTCTGATCCCCTGAAGTCTGTCAATTGTCCATGTACCCTCAGAGAAGGTCATAAAGAAAGGACACCTCCCAACCAGATCAAGAATTTTAAAAAGATAAGAACCATAATGAGAGAAAAAAAAAGTCACCACTCCCTCAACTTTTACTGTGTAATACTGATAAAATACGTTCTTGAAGTTGTGTTAGGAAGGGGTTAAGATTATACTGAGAAGAAATGATTTTAGAGAATACAACTGTGTACATACTATTGATTTTTGTTTTTTGTTTTTTAAAGAAAAAGAATTCGGTTTTTTTCCAAATGAAATGTTTGCTTCATTTCATTCATTTATTTGTCTCTGAACACTTTTGTACTCTTCAATCAGTAGGGACAAAAAGAGGGTTTGTGGGTTCATTGGCAGGAGGGAGAACTTCATATTAACCATATCAGAAATTAAAAATGAAGAATTTTTATTAAAATGTTTTACTTCTGACTCATAGTGCGGTGAGATATGGTGATATAGGGTTTTTGAGGAGCAGCTGGTGGGTTTGAACTGTCAACTTTGCAGCTAGCAGTCCAGTGCTTATCCTCCAACGCCACACCAGGACTGGAAAAAAACTCTCTAATCACATATTTAAGCTAACCAATTCAAATAGGCTACATTCTTGTTTCCAATCAATCACTGTAAAGCCCCTACCTCAAGATGTTCTGCATCCTGATCTTACAACTTCCAGTCAGAATATTGTACCTTGGTTTCTGTTTTTCACCCTATATTTGTCCCTGGGAAGCAGCCACCCCTTTGGATTCATTGGTCTTTACTCTGCATTGGCTAACTTTTCCCCATTCAAATGTTTATTATGCTTTCAAGAAAGCTCTTTCTTTTTCTTTAACAGAGTCTGAGACACTAAAAGGACACTAAAAGGCTTGGAAATATGTTAAAATCTTTGCAAAGTTGCTCAATTTTGAAGGCCTTGTTTCTTGGATTTTTTTGTTTATGTAGTCATGTATAATATAGCAATTTATTATTTCTCCTGTGTAATCTGCTGAGGAAGCAGTTTTATGTTAAATTTTATGTCTTTGATTAAGAAAACCACACCTCAAAGCTATTAAAAAGTTAAGAATTTTAGTATTCCAATCTATTGCTGTCACTTTTGTTAAATAGATATCCATCTTGGTGAACTCCTGACAACTTTGAAACTTCATAGAAAGCCACAGACAATTTGTTCCCATAATGTAAGAAAAAAGGTGCTAGAAAAATGAGGTGCATTTATTTGTACTATGAATTGTATGGATGTGTGATCAAATCAGCAGAAGTGTCTAATTTTCTCTGGAGTAAAAGTCAGTGTAAGTGTCCCCCTCCTATATTTTGTCTAATATTAGAAACAAAGGCCATATATTATCAACCGTAATTATTGATTAATCAGCTATCAGATTGGAGTCCCTTGAGAAAGAGAGCATGAATCAATTGTTCTATAATAGCCATGGAGTCCTCATATGGCACAGTGGGATAAGCACTGGACTACTAATCATAAGATTGGCCAGTCAAATTCATGAGCACTTAACAACAACAACAACATAACAGCCATGATACCTTTGTTGTTGTTGTTGTTGTTAAGTGCCATCAAATTGGTTCTGACTCATAGCGACCCAGTATAGGGTTACCAAGGAACCACTGGTGAGGTTCAACTGCTGACCTTATGGTTCAAACTAACCTTGTGTCCTGTGCTTATTCTACAGTACCACATCATGATTTCATGATACTGTTATTTACTCCTTGACTATATGTATTTTTTTACATAATTTAAACAAATTTTAGTAACTAAGCAAATTTCATTAATTAATTATATATTTAGTTACTGAAATTTGTTTAAATTATGCAAAAAATACAGACATATACAAAAGGAGACTTCAAACAGTTCATGGAATAATTGAATTAAAAGACAATGAAATTCTCCATGATCTTCTGAAACATATATATATTTTTTTTTTTTTTTTTTTGAGGTTACAAATGATATTAGACGAAGTGGCTCTGTTAATAACCTAGAAAATACTATACTCTTTCTCTCTGAACTAATACAGATAATGATAATTATATTTTTAAAAGAGATTTCTGTTGTTACTGTTAAATGCCTTCTAGTTGGCTCTCACTATTTAGTGTTTCTGAGGCTTTCAATCTTCTTGGGAGCAGAATATCTCATCTTCACCCAGCAGGGTGACTGGTGGGCTCTAATCACCTACCACTGCTGGGTTCATACCATCAACCTTGTGGTTTGCACACCAGTGCTTATCATATGGAGCCAGTATACTCCCATAAAGGAAATTTAAACTTGATTGCTTACATCTTCCCAAGAAAGATTTTGTAGTTTTGTAAAAGAAGATGATTGGATAATAGTTTCAGCTAAGATTCATAATTAGAGATGCAATGGTTGCTGCAGATGCTTCTTTTGCACCTTCTTGGGGGTTGTAGTCATGATTAGGAAATTTAGGTCCACCAACCAGACTGGCCTTTCAGATCTTTTATATTATTATCAACTAATAAGCTACTTGGCATCTGGGGTCTTAAAAACTTGTGAGTGATCATCTAAAGTACAGCAAATGACCTCATTCTGGTGAACAACAAAGAGAAGAAGCTAAAGAACCAATAATAACATGTTTCACATGCCACACAAAGCAGTACCTATGAAACTGGAACAGCATAGATGGGTCCCTGGTCAATGGTTAGTAGCCAAAGATTCTATTTGAATCATAACCAGGAGTGAGGAGATGTCACAGAGAGGAAACTGATAGAAAATATTTTATTCTGAATTTAATCTTACCCACAAAACCAAATATTCATTTTCAAGGAATCTCTGTTCAAAATTAATTTGCCAGAGGATTTTCTTTCATTCAAAATTGCAAATTCTTTCCTTCCTATTGGAAACCAGCCTTACTAAATTTGAAGTTCAAAAGATATGGTTGGGTGAAGGACAAAGACCTCCTTGCTACCTGATATTACTTAATCTCAGGAAAAAGGGAAGACAGAGTTTAATTAATCATGTTTAGATTAGCCAACAGTTAGCCTTTATTTCTCCTGCTTTTTCTATATATAAGCCTTATTGTACCTACATTCTTCTAGTCATTTACTTTTTCTGGAATCAAAATCTATGTTGTGGTACTGTAAAATACGCACTGGACAGTTAGCCATGAGATACATGGTTCAAACCTAACAGCTGCTCCTCAGAAACTTTATACAGGGTTTCTATGAGTATGAAATGATTCACTGGCACATAACAACAAAAACAACTGTTTGCATATAGAATAACTGCTCAGAATAAACCTATGTCATAATTTCATTGAGTTTTGATTATTTTTAATTTGTTAGTTAGCTTTCAAATGTTCTAAGAATGGTGTTTTCCAGCTTGAATCTATCATCATATAACTTAATTTTCTCTGTCCTAAATCTCAACTCTTTCAAGAGTTACAATGATTTGGTTTGATAATTACATTTGACTCAAAACTTGGGAAGTAAATGGAGTCTCTTTCTGTTAGAGTAGCATGATGAAATAAAGTCACATGTGCTTCAACTGAATTATTGATTTGTGTAATATAACAAAAATTCTCACTACTGGACCAATAAACAACATTCTTATCAATGGAGAAAAGATTGAAGTTGTCAAGGACTTCATTCTTCTTGGATCAACTATCAACACTCATGGAAG